GTGTGTGTGTGTGTGTGTGTGTGTGTGTGTGTGTGTGTGTGTGTGTGTGTGTGTGTGTGTGTGGTGTGCGTGTGGTGTGTGTGGGTGTTGGCGTGTGTGCGTATGAGTGTGGGTGTGGTGTGGGTGTGGTGTGGGTGTTGGCGTGTGTGTGTGTATGAGTGTGGGTGTGGAGGATCTGTGTGTGGATGTGTCCGTGTCTGTCTGTCTGCCTGCCTGCCTCTCTGTGCATGTGTAATTCCACTTGGGCGCCTGCGTCGCACCTTGCCATCCCTTCCAAGCACTTACCAACCTCCCACATCCCCACCACCACCACCACCAACACCACCAACAACAACAACAACAACAACAACAACAACAACAACAACAACAACAACAACAACAACAACAACAACAACAACAACAACAACAACAACAACAACAACAACAACAACAACAACAACAACAACAACAACAACTTAAACAACAACAACTTAAACAACAACAACAACAACAACAACAACAACTTAAACAACAACTTAAACAACAACAACAACAACTTAAACAACAACAACAACAACATAAACAACAACAACAACAACAACAACAACAACAACAACAACAACAACAACAACAACACCGCGCCGACATCAGTTCAGCAATTCGCGCGAGGCAAAAGGCCGTCGGCGGCGTGCGATTCCCAAACTGTACAAGCAGTGCTGGCCGCTCGCCACCAAGCGCCAGGCCCTCGACTCCCTCTTTCCCGACAGGTGGAGGCGTGTGTGTGTGTCTGTCTGTATGTTTGTGTGTGTGTGTGTGTGTGAACGTGTGTGAACGTGTGTCTCTGTGTGTGTGTGTGTGTGTCTCTGTGTGTCTGTCTTCCTGCCTGTCTTCCTGCCTGTCTTCCTGCCTGTCTTCCTGCCTGTCTTCCTGCCTGTCTTCCTGCCTGTCTTCCTGCCTGTCTTCCTGCCTGTCTTCCTGTCTATCTGTCTGTCTGTCTGTCTGTCTGTGTCTCTGTCTGTACCAACAACACCTCTTTCCCAACCATTCAATGTACGCTTCCACACCCCGTTTTCGCTCGCAGGGCTACTAGCGCTGCGCTTGCGGCGGAGGCTGCGACGCGCATTGCGGACATGTGGACGTCGCCAGAGGGCGTTCATCTTGATCCTGCAGCAGGCGACCTCTCCCCGCACCGCGCAGCCCGCAAGCGCCAGCAGATTGAGAGCATGTGCAAGGCCGTCGCGCTCATAGCCAAGCCGGGGTGCGTGTGTGTCTGCGTGCCTGTGTGTGTGTGTGTGTGCGTCTGTGTGAGTGTGAGAGAGCGAGTGTGTCTGCGTGCCTGTGTGTGTGTGTCTGCGTGTCTGTGTGTGTGTGTGTGTGTGTGCGTCTGTGTGAGTGTGTCTGTGTTTGTTTGTGTATGACTGTGTCTGTGCACCGCGTGTACGTATGTGCGTGTGAATGCGTTTGCTGTAAACTCACCACCAGCACACACACACACACACACACACACACACACACGACACACACGACGACACACACGACGACGAC